TTTATTTATTTGTGCGTGTGTGTGTGTGTGTGTGTGTGGCCAGCTCAGCCCACCAGGGGGCGGGGCTGGCTGGCATGTGGTGCTGGGGGATTGAACCATGGTCCCTGTGCTTTGCTGAGCTTGTTCTAAGTTGGTACTTTAGACCACTGAGCCATCTCACCAGCCCCATGGCTTTACTTCTTACATTTCATTTTTATACTTTTCTGCTGGATGGCCAAGACCAAGGTAAAGCAGGACCTATGCAACAAGAGTTGTAGCTTTTGGGTCTGATAAGTGTTTTATTTTGAAGATAGGGTTTAATGTGTTTAGTTCAGGCTAGTCTCAAACTCACTATGTAGCCCAGCCATCTGGGTATGGTGTGGGCACCTGTAATCCTAGTGCTCAGGAAGCTGAGACAGGAAGATTGTGGAGAGTTCCAGGTTAGCCTCAGCCATAGAGTGAGACCCTGTCTCAACAAACAGAAAAAGGGCTGGACAGTTAGCTTGGCAGTACAAGCACCTGCCTGGCAAGTGACAGGTCCTGAGTTTGATCTCCAGTACTAAAAAATAAAATAAAAATTTAAAAAGCAACAACAAAAAATACAAAACAAAAGCAGTGCAACCTATGTAGCCCAAGTTTGCCTCAAACTCACTGTAATCCTTTTACTTTAGCCTCCCAGAATGCTGGGATTACAAGCAGGCACCACCAGGATAGCTAAACTTGTCTTTTTTGCCCTGGAGGTAGCAAGTAACTAAAACTAAGTAAAAGGCGGGGAGAAAGAATAAAGTTCAAGAAGAAGAAACTCTTGGAAAAGCAAAGTATTTTATTTTTATCTCAAAATATTACCTTGCCATGCCTGAAGATAACTTTGAGAAGTCTAAGAACAGTCATTTTCTAATCTCTAGATCGGCACTATTCAATATAGTGACTGCTGGCCCCATGGGGCTATTTGGGACTAATCTAAATTGAATCTGGTTTTTTTTGGGTGGGGAGTGGTACCAATAACTGAACTCAGGACCTTATGCTTGCTGGGCGGGTGCTGTGCCACTGAGCTAAATACCTAGCCTCGACTAATCTAAATTGAGATGTGCAGTACATATAAAATACATACTATATTCCAGACCTACTACAAAAGAATGTAAAATATTTCTCTAATTTTTTTTAATATTGATCAAATGTTGGGATGTGAGAACATTTAGAATCTTATGGGTTAAATAAAAAATTATTTTTTTCTCTTTTGAAATGTAGCTACTAGAAAATTTTAGATTACTTATGGGGCTTATATTGAATTTCTAGTTATTAGTGCTGCTCTGTAGCCTAAAATGGTATTGTTAAGAGGAGAAAAAAAGAGGGAAGGGAAAAGGAATGAAATATAGCCTCAAAAAAGTTTTGATTTTTTTTTCTCTCCCTCTGATGTTATTATTTTCAGTGCTTAGGGTTGACCCCATGGCCTTGTGTATGCTAAGCAAGCATCCTACCACTGAGCTACGCATGCAACCCCTCTAAGTGATGTTGGACATGGTATATAACAAGAGTTATCTTAGGGCTCAGAGCCTCAGTTTCTTGAATGTTCTTAATACTCAAAAAAAAAAAAGAGGATACAGATCACAAGCAGTATGACCTAAGGGCTGACCAGATAGCTCAGTGGATTAAAGTGCCTGCAAGCAGGCCCAGGGCCCTGGGATTGGATCCTCAGTCCTGCTATGCTGGCCCCACCCCTGGGGTGCACTGAAATGGCAATTGAGACTGGGTGTAGCGGCATGTGCCTGTAATCCCAGCTGTTGGGAGGTTGTAAACAGGCGCATCACTATGAGTCCGATCTAGTAGTGAACACCCTGTAGACCCTTCCCCTAAAATATAAAAACAAGAAACCAAGCAGTGTGCCCTAGGAGAACATATTCTTTTCCAGTGACTGGATTTGGGCATATTCTTCCCAGTATCACTGTTTCCAGAATATCTGTTGGGGACTGGGGATATAGCTCAGTAGCACAAGTGCCTGCCTGGCAAGCACTAAGGTCTTGAGTTTGATTCCTGGTACATCCTCCCCCAAAAGCTTCAGAATATCTGATGGATGGAAGTTGCCTGGTGAGAATGAAATCAGATCAAAAGCGTATGGAGAGTTCTTTGTGAAGTATTGTGGCAGGCCATGGTAAGAACTGAGGACATAAAATGAAGCATGCCTGCTCACTGTTTCCTTTGACATATTTTTCTTGTACTGTTGCCTATGATCCTACTTTCTCTTATTCAAACTGTATACTCAAGAGATATAGAGATGGGCTAGGGATGTACCTTAGTACTAAAGCTGTTGCCTAGTGTATATGAGGCTCTGGGTTCAATCCTCAGCACTGAAAACACACACACACACACACACACACACACACAACTTATAGACATACCCCTTATAGAAGTCAGATAATGTTCTAATAGTAATGCAACTATTTCTATTATGGTGTTTTTCACATGCTTGGCTATGGTTGACTTGAATCATAATTTTCTGAATCTCAGATTTTTTAATCTGTTAAGGGGATACTACCCAAACCACATATTCTATCTGATCAATGTAAAAATGCATTGAAAGCCTGAGTCTTTTCTATAACTCTAATGAAACAATCACATTTAAGCTATGTTGCAGGTGTCAGTAACAATTTGTTTTAAGGGAGAAATTTTGGGTGCCTTGACTATAGACACAGGGAGGGATTATTTGGAGAATTAGAGCATATATATATATATATATATATGTTATTGGTACTTTTCTCACTTAGTTACTTTCTTCATTGCTAAAATGAAATACTGGATACCTAGTCTAGAAGGAGGAAAGGTTTATTTCAATTCACTGTTGTAGAGATTACAGTCCATAGTCAGCTGGCTCTAGACAAGTAGGCATCACAGAAGAGAAATCGTCCATGGCAAGCAGGCCAGAGACAGTGAAGCAGCAAGCAGCAGTAAGCCTACCTTCTTTTGGTCCTTTTATATTCCATCCAGGCCACAAGTCTATTGATTGGTGCCTCCCATTCCCAGGGTGGGGCTTCCACTATCCACTCCCTTAGCTTTAGTAAACTGTATTCACACACCCTAATCTAACCACCTTTGAAAGTTTCCACTTATGACTGCATGAGGCTTTGGGGGGAAATCTGTATATGAGCCATAATAGCACCCAAATAGGCAATATTATTGGTCAGATAATAATAACCTTTTTCTTTTTTCTTTTATTAGACCCAAAATATGGAGCTGGCATGTACTTCACCAAGAACCTCAAAAATCTAGCAGATAAAGCCAAGAAAATGTCTGCTGCCAATGAGCTAATCTACGTGTTTGAGGCTGAAGTACTCACAGGCTCCTTCTGCCAGGGCCAGCAGATACATATTGTCCCTCCACCACTGAGTCCAGGAGCCATAGGTGGTTATGACAGTGTGGTTGACAATATGTCCAACCCTGAAACCTTTGTTATTTTTGGTAGCACACAGGCTATGCCCCAGTATTTGTGGACATGCACCCAGGATCATGTATCGTCAAAGGAGTATTTATTAGTACCGGAAGTATTTAACAGCAGCCTTTTGAAAGTCTCAAGAGGCAGCTCTGTTGACTAATCTTCCTATCATTTTAATGACTCCCATGACCTTGCTTTGGGGAAAACAACTTAATCATGATTCAAAGAGTAGTCTGAGTATTGCACATGGGTTGTCAGTTTGGATTGACTAGGTTATCTGGAGGACCAGCTATGTAGTAAGATCTTAGTGCCTTCACCTTCATCTTTATTTCTTGAGTCTAAGATAGACAAATACCAGCAAAAACACTCTTGAGACCAATTCTTTTCCTTGTCATTATTCTTTCATCTCTTTTACTATAGGTAAAAGAGAAAAAATTTACATGTAATAGAGATTTCTAGAATGTAATCCTTTCCATTTGTTTTTTAAAATGATGATATAAAGCATTATAACAAAAAATGATTTTAGATTTTCTAAAGAATTTTATAAAGTGACTTACATATCAAAATAAATCGGGGACCCACTGGTCCCAGCCAAGGCCCAGCATGGGTGAGACCCTCTTCCACCCCCTTGGGATGCCCAACACCACTCTGCAGCACCTCCCCCACCCCGCCCGCCCAGTAGGAATTACTGCCACGTTCCAGGAACCCCCAGACCCAGTCCTAGCTCAGGTCTGGTGAGTGTGTGGGAGAGCTTCTGGCTACACTGTGCCAGTGGGACTCACTGGTCCCAGCCCAGGAAGAGTGTGGGTGAGACATTCTTACAACCCCTTGGGACACACCCCACCACTCCGCAGCACCTCCCCCACCCCACCCACTAAGTAGGAATTTCTGCCATGTTCTGGGAACCCCAAGACCCAGTCCTAGCCCCGGCCCAGTGAGTGAGTAGGAGAGCTTCTGGCTACCCTGCGCCAGTGGGACCTACTGGTACCAGCCCAGGCGCAGCATGGGTGACACCATCTTTAACCCTCTTGGGATGCCCCTCATCACTCTGTAGTACCCCCCCCCCAACAGCACACCCACAGAGTAGGAATTTCTGTCGCATTCTGGGAACCCCCAGATCCAGTCCTCTTTCAGGCCCGATGAGTGTGTGGGAGAGCTGCCTGTACCGCTACTCCACCTTGTTCCCTCCAGACTCAGCCCAGGCCTGGCATATAGGCCTGGGGTGAAACCCTTCAGCTGCAATCCCTGCAGAAAGTATATGGCACACAACCACCCAGTTAGTCCAGGAGCAGAAAATCTTGCCAGAGGGGCACAACAGGTGTGCCCCCAAGGGCAGCAACAGGAAGGAACTGAGCACAGCAGCCAGACCCAAGCCAGGTACAGCTGGATAAATCCAAACCTTGTAGAGCTACACGTGAACTTCAGTAGGTGCTAAGGGTATAACTACAACAAAGATCTACAACAAAGATCAGAAGAGAGTGCTACAAAAATGACAACAAGAAGGAGCAAAATGCAATCTCAGAACCCAAGCCCACCCATAACAAGTGCAGAGGACACTAACACAGAACAAATTGGGAATCACACAGTTGAAAGCAATGAATCAACGGCTTCTGAAATAACGAAACAGCTGCAGAAAGGTATAGAGGAACTCATTTTGGAAATGAAAAAAGAAATCCCTGAATTAATAACATCTGCAGTAAAGAATCAAATGCAGAAACAGGGGCTGGAGAGATGGCTCAGTGGTCTAAAGCACCTACTTGGAACAAGCTCAGCAAAGCACAGGGACCGCGGTTCGATGCCCCAGCACCACATGCCAGCCAGCCACGCCCCCTGGTGGGCTGAGCTGGCCACACACACACACACACACACACACACACACAATAAATAAATGTAAAAAAAAAATTAAAAAAAAACAAAAACAAATGCAGAAACATATGGAGGAAATCCAATGCCCACCCAGAACAAATGCAGAGGACACTAGCTCAGCTCAAATGTATGAATTAATAGCGTCCATAGTAAAAAAGCAACAGCAGAAAGTCATAGAGGAACTCAGAGCAGAATTCTTTTCTACTAGCTCAACTCAACTGTACAAATTAATAGCATCGATAGTGAATAAGAAACAGCTGAAAGTTACAGAGGAACTCAGAGCAAAATTATTTTCTGAAATAATTCTCAGAACTCCCCTTCTCCCCGGCGGTTAGTGCTGAGAGTGCGGAGTGTGTGCTCCGGGCTCGGAACACACATTTATTATTAAAAAATCCAAAAAAAATCTAAAAAAATCTTTTAAAAAACCCAAAAAAATTTACAAAAAATCCGCGTCTCCCCCGCCGGAGACTTTTATTTTTTTTCTTCCTCTTTTAT